CACAGCCAGCACTCAGGAGGCAAAGAAAGGCAGGTGGGTCTCTGTGAGACTGAGGGCAGCTTGGTCTATACAGTGAGTTCCAGGCCAGCTGGGACTACAGGGAGACCCTGTCTCAAAAAAGACCAGAAAGTTAACAGAAAAATGGCATTTCTTTACTCAAACCAAATAAAAATTTGGTTCCACAGTATTTTTCAACTTAGGATCTGCTATAACCCACAAGGTCACCAATTAGTCCATTTTCATTTTATATAGTGAATCAGTAGTTACTATGCCTAAGATATACTGTTTTCAAATTTAAATTACAATTATATGATTTACAGTATCTTTACTTCGATTAAAAAGGAGCTGGAAAGATGATTCAGCAGTTAAGGTGCTCGTACAGAGGACTTAAATTCCTCTGGTTCTCAACACCCATACTGGGCGGCTCACAACCACTCCAGATCCAGGGGATTTCAGTCCTTCTTCTGGCTTCTGCAGGTACCCATATATACTCACAGGGCACATACACACAATTTTTATTTTAAAAAAGGAAAAAGGCATTAGAGCCAAAGTCTGCAAAAAGATGTGCTTTGAAGACAGAGTTGCCAATAACCTAACAGAAGAAGAAAAAAAAAATCTTTGAAAGAAATTTCCTGTTTCTTCAAAGCAAGTCAGTTAATTTATATACATATACAAATATATCTAAATACATACTAGGATGAAAAGAAATGGAAAAAGCTAAAATCATTGCTACTAAAGCCTCAAAAAGTAGACTTTACGGAAACCTGGGAAAACAGTACACATAGTAATGCTTAACTTTAATATTCAACAAAGAAAAATCATGAGACATGAATATGGATAAAAAAGCAAATGTGAAATAAAGTGTCACCATGTAAAACAAAGGAGGAGGAAGAAAAGAAGGGGAGGAAGAGGAAGAGGAGGAAGGGGAGGAAGGGGAGGAAGAGGAAGAGGAGGAAGGGGAGGAAGAAGAGGAAGAAGGAAGAGGAAGGAGGAGGAGGAAGAGGCAGAAGTTTTAAACTGAGGAGAAATGGAAGAAACAGATGAAAGCTCTAGGTAATCTAGGTAATCCAGTTCAAGACTATGAGTCAGACCTTTCTGAAATATATAGAGCTCCCACGATACCCTTGCAGAAGGAGTACTTTGATCTCTATTGAAGTGCTGAGTCCATCTACCCAGGCTGTGCTACTAAGTAAAATGGAAGACGGGATAGCAAGCCTGCTGGATTGCAGACAGACCAACATACAGTCTTTGTTTCTTCTACTTGTTCGGAGTGACAAGAACCTGACACTGCTAGCAGGCCCCACTACTCAACTCAGTGCTTACTTGGATTCTGTCAAATGTTTATGGAAGCTTATGTTCCCAACTAGATCATAACTCTTTGGAAAGCATATTACCCGTTTCATTTTATTTTAACTCACTTAATCAAAAACAATGCTATGTACACAGTGGTTATATGTTCAAGTTAATTATCTTGAAAAAAAAGACTTCATTCAGAATATTAGAGTTCAAAGAAATCTCAAGGATCATCTAGCCATCTTTGCTTTTATCCTGAAAGCAAAGAAACTAAACCCAGTTAAATATCTCTAGCTCAAGGTTACATAGCCAGGCCTCGCACCCCAATCCCCTGGCAATCAGTTTATCTTTTCCCAAATAGCCTTTAATTCTTCCACTATGATAAAATGAACAGTCACCTATTTCAAAAGAAAAACAGTAGCATCAACTTCTCTTTCAGTATTCACTATATGATATGACAGAAGGTTTGGTTTACTTGGCAGCCCAGGCTGCTTTACAATCATTAGCTTATTTAAAGCTCATACTAACCCTAAAAAGTAGGCTGTATCAACTCAATTTAACCACAATGGCAGTCAACAGCAAAATCCAGATTCTCAGTTTGTACTAGAAAAATATGGCTCTTAACCAGTATCCTATAGTGCCTCTTTCTTGAATTTAATCACTAACACACACACAAAAAAAATCCTGAGTCCAAATCTAAAAATCCAGAGTCCAGCACTACACCTGGCCTATATCTGATAAGTATTTACACAACTCACTAAATAAATGACAACACATTTTAAAATGTAAGATTTTCTTACCCCAAATACATCTAAAAATGTTTCGCTGTTCATATAACTGCACAATCCTCTTAAGAGGGTTTTAACAGTGGCTAGTTTACATGCAAACAAGAGCAATAGCTGATTTTATTTATTTAATTATTTATTTATCAATTTGATTTTTAGGGACAAAGTCTTGCTATGTAGCCCTGGCTAGTCTGGATCTTAAAACTCTCCAGCTTCAGTTTCCTGAGTGTTTCATGTTTGACAACAGCTAAGTTCTTTATCCTACAAATAATTCATCTAGTCAGCAAAAGCTTAGAAATTATTTTTGACAGCATTAAATCTAAAGAAATAAAATTTAAACATTTCTACAAAATCCACATCTACTCAATTAAAACCCCTCATTAATTTCTAAATCATTAAAAAAATAATGTAACGTTGCCTTTCTTCCTCTGGTAGTGTGGGTAGAATGACCTTAACACAGCAGCTAAAATGTGTCCATCATGAACTTTGTCATATACTTCCTTACAGCTAAGCAAATTATGCAATATGGATATTTTCTAATGAACAAATTGAAACAAAGTTTTCAGTTCAAATCATGTAGTTACTGAAGATACAGTTTTGGAACACAGGACTGGGGATGTGTCTCAGCTGGCAGAGTACTTGCCTCGCATGTACAAGTCCACCCCTGCACTGCACACTCAGCATGGTGGGCCCACTTGTAATCTCAGCACTCAGGGGGTGAAGGCAGAAGGATCAGAAATTCAAGGTCATCCTTGGCTAAACAGTGAGCTGGAAGATAGCCTAGGCTATGTGAGTCCCTGCCTCAAAAAATAAAAAATAAAAAAGGAGAAGGAGGGAGAGGGGGAAAAAGAGGAGAGAAGGGAAGGAGCAGAATTGAAAACCAAATCTGTTTGATCCCAAGCCTGTGCTCGCCACTATCTCATTTAATCTTCTCAAAGGCCATTAGTTAAGTATCGCGTTGCCTCACTTTCATGAACTCAAGAGTTGTAGCATGCCTAAGAACATATTGCTAAAAACAAAATACCAGGTCTGTACCAGGTACAAGAAACTAACCACAGAAAACAATGACCACTTCAGTCAGTGAACAGAGTTCCAGAGTTTAAACTTATTAGATCTTCTGCTTATTGGGTTTAAAAAAAAAAAAAAAAAAAAAAAAGAGATGCATCATTTATACCAACTCCCACTCTGAATGCTAAGTTGATTTTCTAGTAATATGCCATCTAGCAACCTGAAGACTGGCCTAAATATCAACTTTACTAAACATTGTATTATATCTAGCAATCTCTGGATTTTTTTTTACCAGAGATTACTCTTAAAGTAGAAAACAACATACTATTTTACAAACCGAAGTGTTTTAGTCTTTTGTTTCTTTTTTGAGACAGGGTCTCATGTAGCCCAAACTGGCCTCAAACTCACTATCCAGTTAAGGCTGGCCTTGAACTCCTGATCCTCCTGCCTCCAACCTCCAAGTGCTGGGATTATAGGTGTGTGTCATTTTGCCCATTTTAAAAACAAAGGTTATGAAGAACAGAACACTAAAATACATAAACATTTAAGTGTTTGAGATACATCCACAGAAACAGGAACAGAAATATTCCTTAACAATTTCAAGGCATTATCTGAAAACTGTCTATTTCTTAACACATTTCTGAAGACTACATGTAAACAAAAAGAGATCTCTACTGCCCATTCTAACATTGTTACCACTTTGGTTAAAAAAAAAATTTTTTTTTTTTTTTTGCATAGTTGTGTCAAAAATCTAAGACGGCCCTTTCTACAGATACTGGCCCAGGCACAAATGCCTAAGGAATTGTCTGGTTTTTTTTTTTTTATAATAATATCAAATTATGAATGAGACCGCGAAAGAGTATTAACATAAGAGGATGGTAGTTGTTATTCACATTTTACTTAAAAAAAAAAAAAAAGGAAGCTACAAAATGCATAAAGAAAATCAAGCTAACGCAAAGTAACCAGGTGGGAGACTGCCATGTCAGTTCACCCTGCAACGAACACCACCAATTTGTCTTCATTGCACAGCCTCAAAATACCAGAGTTCTGCAGGAAGCTGTACTCCGCCTGCGTCTCCCCGCATGTCACTGTGGATCATTAAAAGCTAGAATGCATGAAGAATTACTTCCAGGCCTTAACTAAGCACTAGCTCAGCTACAGAGGTAAACAACTACAGAATGTGACTGATCTGGAGCAGAAAAGTGTTCACATAAAAGGGGAGACACAAAGTGACGGGAAACGTGTTGTGCTGCCCACCACCCCTCCCGTTCCTAAAAAAGCGGTGCTCTGACAAGCTCAAGTGAGCGTGGGTTTATTCCCAAAAGTTCTGACCTCTCTTTTTACTCGCTTAAGGGCAAATACTCAAATAAGGGCATCCGGCGTACGGTGCGCACAGTTGGTACCAATAGCATATCCTGGCAGGACATCACTTGGCCCAAGAAACTATTCCGCCCCCCACAACAGTTAATTAAACGAAAGGGGTAGTGTCATTCACCACGGCGAAGGAATGGAGGGGAAAAAAACCAATCAAAGCCAGATACGCTTCCTCCGCGCTCGGTAGAGGATTGGAGCAAGACCAGGGGCTCCGGGCAGGCGTTCCACCGCGGCAACAGGCCGCCGTGGTCTCCGCAGCCACAAGCAGCACGGCGACAGAGCAGAACCATCCACACCCCACCTCTGTCCTCCAGGCACCGCCAGGGACGGCGTCCCAGAGCCCGCCCCGGCCGGGCCCGCCCCGCTATCTCCTCCCCCGTTATCCGCTCGCCGCCGCGCTCGGGCCTGGACTCGCCTCCTCAGCCGCCCCGGGCTCCGCACGGCCCACCGCGCGAATTCGTGGGCCGCCGCCCTCGGCGAGGATGAGGGAGTCCGGCCGCGGGCCGCGGGCCTCGGAAGGCGCTCGGTGCGGCCCCTCACCTCGGGGTGGAGAAGGGGCACGCAGCCCGCTTCGGTATCGTACTCATCCGGGCTGTCCGCCATCTTGGTGTTAAATCCCTCCTCCCGCTGCATGCCGGGAGAAAGCGTTTCAACCTCGCGGGGCTCCGGCGAGGCGGAGGGCGAGCGCGAGGGTGAGCGCGAGCCCCGCGGAGGGCAACGCGGCCGCCGCCTCCTCCTCCCCCAGCCCCCAGGACGCCCCCTCGACCCCTCCCGCCGCCGAGGGCGCGGGTCCCAGCGCGCGTGCGCGGCTCTGGATACACACACGCGCGCGCGCGCGTGTAGCCCGGGCCTGGCCGGGAGCGCGCTCTGCTGCACTGCGCCGGAGAAGCGGACCGGTTTGGGCGTGGGCGCCGAGGCCCGGGGGTGGGTCCCTGGCCGTGGGCTGATGGTCGGCTCCGGCCACCCTAGAAGGCGACACTGCGAGGGGTAGGTTTACCGAGGAAACCTCGCGGCTGTGCGAGAGCGAGCCCCGGAGTTGCGTAATGTGCAGCTGGGACCCCCTCCTCGCGAGCCCGGGAGGAGCATCTCGGGAGCCTAGGGCGTGAGTCCCGAGATGAAGGATGCTTCCTTTCCTCGGCCTCCCAACCTGAGCCTCCGGGGAGCGCCCGGAAAAACACGCATAAAACGGGCTTCCTTAGAAAAGCCTTTGTTACGTGAGCCCATCTTGCCTTCTTTGGTCTTGAATTAGTATATATGGGTTTTTTTTTTTTCATTTTAAGCGATAAAAACCCAACAGTTACCACCTGCTACATGTTAACATGACCCGGGAATTCAGAATTGAAATCATTTAAACAATGCACTGGAGCGCGACCTACATAAAATGATTAAAGCCATTTTTAAGAGGATATTTGGACTGGGGGGCGCGGCGGTGACTGCTTGCTAAAAATGGGCTGATGGAACAATTTTAGAAGTTTGTCTAAATCTAACGCAGAGGCAGATGCAGCAGGGCTCGATCATGAGACTGGACTAATTAAGACATCTTGATACTAGTTATTGTCCTGTTAAAGCCAAATCTGCCAAAGACCACCAAGAAGAAACCGGCAGTCTAACAAAACCAGATTTATTTTTAAGTCAGGAGGAAGGCGCTCCAGAGGAAAAAAGAATACTACAGGGGAGGAGCAGAGGAAACCCGAACAGCCTGAGGAGGGTCTAGGGAGAACCCGGATCAGTTCTGGATTGGATGTAGTTTCTGAGGCGGGTTGAGGAAAAGCTGGGGGGAATAGCGAGGGATTGGGTGCTGTCTTGAGGCTATGACAGTTTAGTAAATGGGTACTCTCACTAATAAATGAAAATAGTAAAGTAGACCTAGGAAGGGTGAACATGACATTTTATAGCTGTTTCATGGTGATGGGGAAAAAAAGGCTGCTAGCTTTGGAGCTGGCTTTAGCTTTGTCCCCCTCAGCATCAGGAGTCATGCGCAGAATTGGAGTGCTCCCAGCACCAAATTGTTTTCAGACGCATGCCAATATGGAAAGAGTCATTTTTACGTCAACATTTCATGCCTTGTCCCCTTACCCTTAGGTTTTGCATTTACTCAGTCTAGAGAAGGGAGTAAAGAAAGGAAGTCGAGTGAAACAGTGGAGAGATTGTAACATAAAAATAAAAACCATTGAATGAAGTGGATGAAGAAACTAGGCACAGAGAACTAAAGAAAATATTTCATGGATGCCCATGCATTACAAGCATTAGTGTAGGTCTGTGATAGGCAGTATTCATAAAACAGATATTTAACTTCGCCCCCTGGGTTGACAGCCTGAATGGAAGGATCAAGGTCAATTCAGTCAGCAAAATTTTTGTCATTTTGCCCATATACTAGTTTGATAATTTTCAAAATACATTTAATTGAATACCCAAATTCAGTATATCGGGAGATTTCACTTTGAAAATGTAAATTTTCATTTTGTCTGGAAAACACGGGAACCCTGAACCTTCTTGATCAGCCGCCACTGGTCACAAACTTTTCTTTATTGGAGACATTTTTGTTTGTGACTTCTGAGAAATGTACAATTTAAACAAAGAAAAATATTAATACTAAAAAGCCGCTGAAAGGAAAATGGAACAATTGGGGTTTTGTCTATTGCTCACTGCTGTAAACCTGAAGCAAATAAATAAATGAACAACTGACAAACCAGGAGAAAGAGCATCCATTTTCAGCCCTACATGGTGGCACACTCTTGTAATCCCAGTAGAGGTTTACAAGTTAACTTGAACTTTATTACAAGGCACTGTCTCAAAAGCAACAACAAAAAATAGATTGACAAAAGAATGACAGAATCATAGAGGGATGCAGAAAAATAAAAAGAACAAAATTCAGAAAGAAAAATAGACCTTTTTGGAAAAGAATTGAGAAGGGGATTTAGAGATAGAAATATTGCAAAGAATGGGCACTTGTGTGTAAATACAGTTTCATAAATAACTTCTGACAGTTTTAGCAATCACCAGTTCTAGTTCAATTCTACCATTTCACAAACAGGCAAACGATAGGGAATTTAGAAACCCCCCCTTTTTTGTCGTTTTGAAGCAGGGTCTCCCTGTAACCCCAGCTGTCCTGGAACTCACTATGTAGACCAGGCTGGTCTTGAACTCACAGAGATCCCCCTGCCTCTGCCTCCCAAGTGCTGGGACTACAGGTATGCACCACCACGCCCAGCTTAGAAACCCTCTTAAAGTCACAGAGCTAGGATATAACAGAATCACATCTAGAAATCTCCAGAACATTCCCCATCTACTAGTGTTGCTACTATCCCACATTTCTTCTGTTGTACTTAACTGCAATGGATTGTTTGGTTTATTTAGTGATTTTTCAAAAATATTTTATTTCATTTTTAATTATGCGTATGCATATGTCTGTGCGTGTAAGTGCAGGTGCCCTCTGAAGCCACAGGGGTCAGATTCCCCTGGAGCTAGAGTTAGAGATGGTTGTGAGTCACCCAATGTGGGTTCTGGGAATGGAACAAAACTTGCATCCTCTGTAAGAGCTGTTCAGACTGAACCATTCAGCCATCTCCTCAGCCCCTTAGAGATTTTTTTTTTTTATTGTGGTAAAAGCATTTACCATGAGATCTCAATTTTTAACTGCAACATACATTAACTATAGACACAGTGTTGTACAAGAGATCCCTAGAACATGCTCACCTGGCATCTGATGAAACTTTATTTTCTGTGAACAATAACTCCCCATTTACCCTACCTTAGGCCCTGCTGTCCACTATGCATTTCTGCTTCTATGGGTTTGCCTGTCTTGATCTACCTTATAAAAGGGAATCACAGTATTTCCTTCTATGACTGGCTTATTTAACATAAGTACCTCCACGTTTGTCCATGTTGTTGTATATGGTAGAAATTCCTTCTATGTATTTATTTCAATTTTTATTTATTGAGACAGGGTCTCCCTGTAGTCCCAGCTAGCCTGGAACTTGCTAAGTAGACCGGGCTGGCCATAATCTCATAGAGATCTGCCTGCCTCTACTTCTGGAGTGCTGGGATTAAAGGCATGCACCACCAGGCTGCCTGGGCCTTTTTTTTTTTTTTTTTAAATTCCTTCATTTTAAAGGCTGAATACTTTCTACCCCTTGTCTATTTTTGCCTTTGTCGCTTGTGCATTTGTATCATATCTAAGAAGTCATTGCCAAGTTCAATATCATTAAACTTTTCCCGTATTTTCTTCTAGGGCTTTTTATAGTTCTGGTTCTTACATGTCAGTCTTAACCCATTTTGAATTGATTATTGATTTCTGTATACAGTGCAAGACAGGAGCCTAATTTAATTCTTTTTGCATATAGAGTCCACTTTTCCCAGAATCATGTTTGCTCAATCTCTAGAGCAGTTTTGGCTCTTTAGTTTTTTAAGGTTGCATGTGAATTTTAAGATTTTTTTTTTTTTAATGCTTCTATTTTGTCAAAAAAGCCATGCTGGAGTGGTTGGAAGCGCTGACTGTTCTTGCAGAGGACCTGGGTTCAGTTCCTAGCACCCACATGGTGGCTAACAGCCATCTGTAACTCCAGTTCCAGAGGATCTGATGCCCTCTTCAGAAGTCTGTGGGCATTGCATGACACAGTTGCACTTATGTGCATGCAAACAATACACTCATTCATATAAAATAAAAATAATAAATTAAATTTTTAAAAAATTTAAGCTGAGCATGGTGGTGCACACCTTTAATGTCAGCATTTGGGAGGCAGAGGCAGGCAGATCTCTGTGAGTTGGAGGCCAGCCTGGTCTATATAGGGAGTTCTAGGCCAGCTGGGCCTACAGGGAGACCCTGTCTCAAAAAAAAAAAAAAAAAGACGAAAAAAAATTTTTTTAAACCATTGGGATTTTAAGAAATAGTGCATTGAATCTGTGGATCATTTTCAGTAATTTTAACAGTCTTCATTTTTCTTGAGCATGAATGTCTTTCCATTTAATTGTGTCTTCCTTAATTTCACTTTCATCAGTATTTGCAACTTTTGGTGTACCAAAATTTTCCTTCATTAGTTAAGATTATTCCCACCATGTTCTTTTTTATGCTATGGTAATGGACTTGCTTTTTCATTTCCTTTTCAGGTGGTTCATTGTTAGTGTTTGCTTTCTTGGTTTTGACACAGGGTCTCACTCTGTAATCTAGTCTGGAACCTACAACAGTCCTACCTCGGCCTCCTACCTGTTGGGATTTTAGGTGTCAGCCATCACACCCAGCTTGACAAGAGATTTTTAGATGCTGATTTTGCACCCTCCAATTTATTTGTTTATTCTAACATGTGGCAATTAAGCATTTGTTCTGCATAAATATTGGAAGGTGTAAACACAAAACAGAAATACTTAGAAGATACTTCTAAGATTATTTGGAATGACTAGATTCTGTTCAGTAAGCACAATACTATGAATTCTAATGAAGCATATTAACAGTAAGATTTCTGTACAAACCATTTCACAAATTTCTTTGCCTCACTGAAACTGCAGGTACTAGAACAAAAACAAAAACAAACATTACTATTTAGAACTACAAGTTAAGAGCATCCTAATCCAGGAAAACAAGTCCACAGAATAATACTCCAGTCCTGTTTTAAATCAAGTATGGACAATTTTTACACTCATTTTCAGTATCAATCATAGATGAAGATTAAAGCAAACTGGAGAAAATCAAAGGAACTAAGTGGAATATGGTGTGGGTGATGATCAGTTTCTAAGAAGGCTGCCATAGAGGCTGGAGAGATAGTTCAGTGGTTAAGAGCACGAGGTGTTCTTGCAGAGGGCCCAGATTCAGTTCCTAGCACCAATAATGCAGCTACAACTGTAACTCCAGTTTCCAGGGGTCTGATGCCCTCTTCTTGCTCTGAAGGCATTGGACGCACAGTTGCACTTACATACGGGCAGGCAAAACATTCATACACAATAAAAACAAAAATTTTTAACAAAAGAGGACAATCATAAATTTAAGAGGAAACAATTTTTATTGTCAGTAAACCTTTTGGAAAAAGGAACTAAAAGCAGCTTTATGCCATAGCATATGTATGAATTTGAGGAAAATGTGGGAAAGTCAAGACATGTTCTTAAGAGCTGCCTCATCCTTCTTAGACCTCTACCCAACCCCTGCCTGCCCCTGCTTCTTGCTATATAGTTAGTGACTTGTGTTCTTTCATAATGACTACTAGACTTCAGAACTAGTTTGATACATCTTCACTGACACAAGCCAGGTTGGGACAAATTATGTGAGTTTTGCACTTTGTCTTTAAAAAGAGAAAGCTATTAATTTGGCTATTGTGAAGGAATTGGCCCTAGCTTCCTATTCTCAGTATAGGATGGGCTTATGGTTCAAACATGGATACTTAATTTGGAAATGGAAAGGACTATAGTTATGGTGCTAAGAGTGACTAGATTTGGCTGTGCTGGCCCCCTGCCAGTATTCCTGTTCCGGAGTATAAGAGAACCTTAAAAAAAAAAAGACATTTCATTTTTAATTATGTGTATGTATATGTCATGTGTGGCTATGTGCATGTACCTGCAAAGGCCAGAAGAGGGCATCACATCCTCTGGACTGTAGTTACTGGCAATTGTGTGTGAGCCACCAGATATGGGTATTGAGAACTGAACTCTGGTCCTCTACAATAGCAGTGTTCACTCTTAACCCCAAGCCATCTCTCCAGCTCAAGAGAAAATTTTATATCAGCACTTCATTAGGATATTATGTATGTACAGTAAGTGTTGCAGGCCTTGACTGTTATCATCATTCTAGAATATTCCTCAGCACTGCTCCTTCCCAAGCCTTGAGGTATTATTGGAGGGATGTATCCTGATTGCTTTATATTCTGTAAGGCAATTGCATCAGGAATCAGGGTCTCTTCTTGTATTATTAGCATGTTTGCCTAATACTGAGAGCTAGAAATCTAACTATAATTGGTTTGCATGCTTTATCTTATTTAGGATATAATTTAATTAGTCTAAACATGTTTCTATCCAGATTTCCTAGTGAGACTATCTGGATTTGAATCCTGATTCCATCATCTTCATTCTGTGACCTGAGGACAATATGTAAGTTCTCAGGCTGTACTGTTTGCACAGCTGCTGTTTCATTTTGTTTCCTGTTGCTCAGGCACATACAGCCTCTATCATTCTGATACAAGAGTGGTTCCTTTTACCCCATAGGTCCTCCATATCTCAGTCCCATTTGGTTTCTACTCTTAGTCTCTACCTGAAGACAAAGGATTTAATCTTCTCTTTACTCTCTGCACATCAAAGAAATGATATGGGAAGAGACAGGTTTGGTCTAGGAACTCAAAGTGCAGGCTGCATTACAAAGCCTGGATGCGGGACTTTTGTGTCCCCTCCACCTAGGAGAAACATCTTCCCATAGTGAATGGTCCACACCCAGACAATTACTAGTCACAACCCTTCCCCATCAGTACCCTTCATCAGAGTTAGCCCCCAGTTCACATTCCCTAATTCACTAGCTTTTCTTGCAGTCTTTTCTACTATCATAGAGTAAGAAAATGAAAAATGTAAAGAAGCATTAGGTTTGTTCCTCCACAAACTTGAGTATACTCTTGTCATAGCTGGAGACGGGTTAGGTGGATGAGAGGGCAAAGCTAGGAAGTAAGCCCAATCATTCTAGGCTGTTTCAGAACATTAAATCTTTGTTTATCTGTTTTGCTTGCTTGTTTGCTTTTTAGCTTTAGGACATCCCCCTTCATCTGTTGGTTGCTAAATTAGTAAATTTTCTAGATTAGTTCCCCCCCGACTAACAGATGTTAAGGTAGAGAAATTCAGAACGAGAGAGATGACAGTAAATTTTCTAGATTAGTTCTTTTTTTTTTTTTTTTCTAACATATTAAGGTAGAGAAATTCAGAACTGGAGAGATGACTCAGCAGTTAAGAGCACTGGCTGCTATTGAGACCCAGGTTCATATCCCAGCACCCACATGGCAGCTGATAACTGTCCGTAACTCCAGTTCTAGGGGATCCAACGTCCTCTTCTGGCCTCCATGGGTTTGCACTCACGTGGTAAGCTCACATACATGCAGGCAAAACACTCATACACATAAAATAAAAACAAATAAATTTTTAAAAATTTAAAAAGATATTGTGATGCAGTTGTAAATAACCACATAACCACCTCAGGAATCCCACAAATGTACGTTTCCCTCCACCCCAGCTCAGCTTTAATATATTGATACAATCAGATGCCCTTGACTAGTCTTTAGAGAGTGTTTCCAAACCTCTAAACCTACAAATCTTCTTCTCTCCTCTGGCCCTCATTGCTAAGGAAGTCCATTCATTGAATCAGTCCATTCACTGATTTTATTCTCTGGGCTGGAGTGATGACTGGCAGTTAAAAACACTGGCTCTTCTTGCAGAGGACCCAGGTTTGGTTCCTAGCACCTATGTGGCAACTAACAACCATCTGTAACTCCAGTTCCAGGGGATCCAATGCCCTCTTCTGACCTCTTCGAGCATTACACAACATGGGTGCACTTACATACAAGCAGGCAATACACTCATACACATAAAAATAAATAAATAAAATACTTAATTTTACTCTCTGAGGTTAACTATAAATTCCACCTTGGGGATTTCCAAACATGCATATACATGAATCTAATAAATTTTATTTTTGTTTTGTGTGTGTGTGTGTGTGTGTGTGTGTGTGTGTGTGTGTGTGTGTATGTCCCAGCCCATGGATAGAGGTCAGAAGACAACCTGCAGGAATCAGTTCTTTATTTCTACCAAGTGAATTCTAGGGATCAAACTATATCACTCAGGTCATCAGGCTTGGCAATAAGTGCCTCTTACCCAAGGAGCCATCTCATGGGCCCCATGATATGGTATGTTATAGCTGTAGTTCTTGACTCATGTACTTAATGTGGAAAGGTCTTTTGGAAGTCATCTAGCTTATCTTGTATTCAAACAGAATAATCTCAGCAAATGTGGTGTAAAAAAAAGACTTGTAAGAAACTGGCTTTGGCTTGACAGCTAATTAATGGTATAATTTTCATCATTTCACTTGATTTCTTACCCTGTTTTATCATCTGAAAAATAAAGGGCTTGGGGTATGTGCTCTCCAGAGTCTCTTTTATCCCTCATTCTAACAACAATGACAACCATCTTAAATAATTTTCTTTTGGACTTCCATAATGAAAAGTCGACAATTTCTGTAATCAACTTTTGCTTTCTTCTATGAGTTTTGCTATCAGAATATTTTCCTATTTCTATCCTAAATCTCTCATTCTGTGGGTGTTTAATGGCACACACCTTTAATCCCAGCACTCAGGAGGCAGAGGCAGAGAGATCTCTGTGAGTTCGAGGCCAGCCTGGTCTCCATAGTGAGTTCCAGGACAGCTGCGGCTGCAGGGAGACCGTGTCTCAATAAGACCAAAAAAAAAAAAAAAAATCTTAATATTCTCCTTAGCTCTTTTTCTTAAATTTTGAGAAGTATCTCACTGAGTTGTCCAAAGTAGTCTTGAACTCACTCCATAGCTCAGGCTGGACTTGAACTTGTGATAATCCACCTTATCCTTCCAAGTAGTTAAGATTACAAGCCTGCATCACCAGGTCCAGCTTATCACTCTTACCTAAATCATTCCCAGACAGGCTAAATTTTCCTAGTAAAAACTAATGGACTTCCATTAGTAAAAAAGTCCCCTCCCCCCAATTCCTTTTATTATTATTTATTTGTTTTATGTGTATGAGTGTTTGCCTGCATGTATATAAGTGTACCTATGTCATTGCAGTGCCAGAGGAGGTCAGAAAAGGGTGTTGAATCCCCTGGATCTGGAGTTACACGTGGTTGTTAGCCACCGTGTGGATGCTGGAAACTGAACCCCAGTCCTCTGCAAGAACAGCTAGTGCTCTTAATTGCTGAGCCAGCTCTCCAGACTCTTTTCCCCCACTTCTGAATATTCACTCCCATGATAAAGTGAGACAACTCATAATACCCAAAGGAAGTCATTAGAGGCTCTGTCTCTCAGGGAGATTAAGAGGCACTAAACATTTTAACTGCAACATCTGGTATTCCCACCCCTCTATTCTAGATTATACCCTTCTAAGCTATTTAGGGGGAAGGTGGAATGGAGAGAGGTACCATATTCAGAGAGTGAAATAAAGCCAGGCATCATGGCTCATACTTATAACCTTCAGCAATAGAGGCAGAAGGATGAGTTCAAGGCCAGTATAGAGTACATAGACCCTATCTCTAAATTAAGCCCCAGATTTCCACAGAATCCGGTTCAAAACACCTGTCCATATCAACAATTTTTTCCTGGTTTTTAGTTTTTGAATTTTTTTGTAAACTGGGTTTTTGTTTTGTTTTTCTGAGACAAGGTCTCCCTGTAGCCCAGCTGACCTGGAACTCCCTGTATAGACCAGGCTGGCCTTAATCTCACAGAGATCTGCCTGCCTCTGCATCCCTAGTGCTGGAATTAAAGCATGTGCCACCACCCCACCCAGCATAATCCAGTTTTTGAATTCTAGAATGACTGCACATAGTTTAAAAGTTTTAAATAATAAGAATACAAATAAGTTTAAGTCTCTTTTTCCCTCCCCACTTACCCAGCATCTCCTAGTTAGTCATGGTTAATGGTAGTCTTCCTCAAATTTTAAAGTCTGTATATAATCCTGCAATACATAATAAAGTTTTGGTCAATAGAGACCATACATATGATAGTGATCTCATAAGATTATAGGGGAGCTGAAGTTTTTCTCTGATTTAATGACACTATCATAAGGACATAATGCATGGCACTGCCTGTGTTTCTGTGGTGATGCTGGTAAGAACTGTGCTGCCAGATGTATAAGAGAATAGCACATGTTATATTCTTAATACTGAATAATTAATGATTGTTACTGATTTACAAATTTATCACATATTTACTGTTTTACAATGTACTCTTTAAAGATTTATTTCTATTTTTTTGAATTATGTGCATATGTATATATCTGTGTGTGGGTTTGTGCATGTGTGAGGGCAGGAGCCTGCAGAGTCCAGAAGAAGGTATCAGATCCCCTGGAGATGGAGTTCCAGGTGGTTGGGAGCCCCCCAACATGGGTGCTGGGAATTGAACTCAAATCTTCTGGAAGAGCACTACATGCTCTTAATTGCTGAGCTATCTCTCCACTCCCATAGAACATACTCTGAATACTTATAAGAAAAATGTTTACCGTGAAGCAGCATGCTGATCTACACCATCAGCAGCCTCCTTCATCTCCCATTCACTGCATTTCTTGCTTGCATAACGTCTTCTGCATGGTATAATCTCTTGTTTTATTCATTGTGATCCTAGAAGCAATAGACTATACCATATAGCCTACTTGTGTAATAAGCTGTACCATCTAGGTGTAAGTACACTCATGTTCACACAATGGTGAAATTGCTTTGTACATTTTTTAAATTTTTATTTTTTATTTTTATTTTATGTGTATGTATGAATTGCCTGCATATAGGTAAGTGCACCCATGTCATGGAATTCCTGTGGAGGACAGAAGAGGTTGTTGGATCCCCTAGAACTGGAGTTATGGACAGCTATTGGCTGCCATGTGGGTGCTGGGATTTGAACTCAGGTCTTCTGCAAGAATAGTCAGTGTTCTTAACTGCTGAGCCATCTCTCCAGCCCAGCTTCACACATTTCTTAATAGATGTATCTATACATATGTATCCTTAAAATACAGCATCTTAACTGTGTAAAATGTGCCACACATTTATTCATTCTAAGATATTTTTCAAAGACAGTGTTTCTAATGACCTACATAGTATTCTCTTGGGCCCTTTATATCTTTTATTAATAGAAAATTCTTGGCCTTAAGTAATAGAAAACTTAACTAAGATAGCTTATATAATAAGGATGTTTATTATTTCTTACAAGAAGTCTAGAGTCAGTGTAATTCAAAAGTTTGCTGATATTTGAAGATCCAAGTATTTTTCAGCTTAACACCTTAGTCATGTCATCAAGATTCTATCAGATTCCTTTCTCTGCTTTGCTATTCTCAGATAAAAGTGAGAAGGTTCATATTCTCAACAGCTGTAGTAGCTGTAGGTATCA